AGTCGGAGTTGACGCCCTCCGAGGAACTAGGTTCGAGTTTTCGGGCGTTTGTTGGCCCCTTTGGCCTTTGGGCCCTCGGGAGGCTCTCTCGGCGCCATTCCCATCGGCATCCTTGTCAGAGGGCACCCTGAGCCCTGGGACAGCACTGAGTCGACTTTTTATCCCCTGACCCCCGAGCCCCAGATGGCTGGCGACTCGGAGAAGCCAAGACGGCCAGTTTCTTACCGTCTCGGGCCCCTGCCAGCTCGGGCCCCAGGGCCCTGGCTCGTTGGTTGCGAAAGGTGCCCCTGGCCAAAGGTGCCCCCAGCCTTTCGGTTCATTTTAGAGCCCCTGGGGCCCGCTGGAGGACCTCGTGCGGAATGCTCTGGAGGCCGTGGGGGCCTCCTTGGAAATCCTGGGGGCACCTGGGGCCAGGGGCACTTCTAGCAACATCCGACCGAGAGGTCCGGGGCGCACGTCTCGAAAAGATCATCTCGATCGGGGGTGCCCAAGATCGGGGAAGCATAAGACTCGAGTGCGCCGGAGCGTGGGTTTGCCAGCTTTTTTTTGGCGGGCCCCAGTTTTGGACGGTGCGGTTTTCGTGGGGACGGGGGGGGGGCATCATGGCTGGAGCCACGAAACTCCTGAATGTTATGGTCATCTTCCTCTTGTTTCGACACGTTCCCTGGCCCTCCCCTCGTCCGCGCACATGCCTTGGGCCATGACGTTCACCCTCCCCCCTCTTCCTGGCCCCTCTCTTCGGCGCACCCGCCTCGATCATCGTCCACCGAGCTGAAAGTTATGAGGGGGGCGAGCTTGCGGGGGGCCGGGCACGAGGGAGCGCCCGCCGTGCGCTGCATTTGCAGGTGGGGGGGGAGGGGGGGCCGCTGGGCGGCGGCGGCGGCGGAGAGCGGAAGGACGAGGGGGTCTTGGCGGCGCGCACGAGGGGTGCGGCGCGAGGAGGGACAGCCACTTGCGTGCTGAGAAGGCGAGGGGGCTCTGAGAAGGCGAGGGGGCCTCTCGGAGGCCGTCCTGACTTCCAGGAAGCCCTTCGAGAAGCCTCCGCCTCCCTCCTGGGATGGCCCCCGGCCAGCGTTCTGAGGAGCGCCCCGCCCTCTCAGAGGGCCACCCGCCTCGCGCCGCCTCCCCGTGCGCGCCACCAAGGCCAGCGGAAGCACGTGCGGGGCGCCTGCGCAGCAGGGCTGAGCTTCACTGGGCGGGGGTGGGATCGAGGATCAGGAGGAGCAGGTGGCGGGGATCGGGGGGTCAGGAGCGGGATCGGGGGTCAGGGATCGTTTGCTGCTGCACGCGTTTGGTTACGTAACTCGTGGGTCTCCAGAGGCCTCCGGGGGGGCCTCCGAGGAGATGTCCAGAGGCCCTGCAGGCAGGGGCCTCGGGAGCCGAACCAGAGGCCTTTGAAGGCAAACAAGAAGTGCGTTGAGGGCAGGGGAAAATTAAATGTTTGTACTCGTTAGTTGGAGTCGAGTTAGATCAGTAGGTCGACCCTTCCAAATCAAGGGTGCCCTTGTGTCCTGTGTTCCGCGCTCCATGTCGTCTACATTCCTGCGGCAATGTGGCTCTCGGAAGGGTCTTGTGTCATCGCGCGTGTCCTCCCCAAGTCTCCAAGCAAGTTCGTGCTCTCGTTTAGTGAGACTTCCTGAGGAGGAGGCTTGTCCTGAGCTGGTCCACTTCCATCCTAGCAAGACAGGACAGAACAGGGGCGGCACCGGACTCAAATATCAAAACAGCTTAATGAACATTCGTTTTCGGAGGTGCGCGCGGACGTCTTGAGTCGGCATTGGGCACCCCTGGCTGCGCCTCCGGCGCCGACCCTGGAGGGAGGAGGGTCCAGCGCTGACCCAAGAAAACCTTGCCGACCTCAAAAAGCTGATGGTTGTTCACGTTGTTATCGTATTCTTATTTTTCGTATCATTATTGTTACTAGTACTCGCCTTATTTCTCTTAGTATCGGTATTAATGTGTACGATTATTATTAATATTATTTGTCTTCCCAGTAACATTAGCCTTTTCATCATTCTCATGAATCGTATTATTATTACTTCGGCGGCGCGCCAGGGTGGATGGCAGCGGGGGCGGGTCCCCTCAGAAGACTCAGAGGGCTCCCCCCTCAGAAGACTCAGAGGGCTCCCGGCCTTCTGAGAAGCGCTCCGAGTCGGGACTCAAGAGACGGGGGTCAGTGCAGACGGGATCAGTCAGAGCGCCAGATCATACAATATCCTGCAAAGCCAGGGTCGCATTGACCCGGGCTCGGGTGCAGGATCATGCAGGATGTTGGAGGATTTTGCAAAGCCCAATTGGCCCGGGTCTGGATTGACCCGGGTCAGCAGATTTCCGACCGAGCCGTCTCCGAAAACCAGGACGGTTTCTCAGAAGGGCTGGGAGGGGCTTCCGAGAAGCCCCGGCGCCTTCTGAGAGGGCCTGCCCCCTGTCACGTTCAGGCAGGCTTGGGATCAGGATAAATCGCCAGAAGGGTTGGGAGGGGCTTACGAGAAGCCCACTGCCTTCTCAGAGGGCTTGCCCCTGGTCACGTCCACAGGCAGGCTTGGGATCAGGATACGTCGCTCCAGAGCGTCGCCGAGCGCTCCCGGAGCGTCCCAGAGCGTCCTGGAGCTGCCGCAGCGCCCGATCAGTCCTCGTCACAGTATTTTGCAGCAGACTTTGAGCGGGCACGGCGGTCCAGTTTGGTGTTGTTGCTTTTCTCTAGACGGGAAGAGGATTCGGGGTCTGATGACAAGACTTTTGCATGGAGGTTTGTGGTAGGCAGGGCTGGTGGCGTCCACGTTTCTCATCGCACTTCCGATTGCTGCGTGAGCCATGCAGTTGCGGATTTGGGCGAGGTGCCGACTGAGTAGTCGGGGAGGGGTCGTTCAGGGACAGTGGAAGGTGTTGGGCTTCCCGAGACTCTCACAGAGGCCGCCTTCCGTTTTCCCCAGGGTTTCGTCTCAGAGGCAAATGGGCTCGCTTGGAGCTTGGTTTGGCTCAAGGGCTTTCGGCGATAAGGCTGGAGGAACAAGCAATGTCTAAGTTCGCGCCCGTTTTGTCGCCGAGACTGCAAGCATGTGTGCCCACACGGGTACCAGAGACGATGTATTTAGAACGGTACTTGGAGGTTAAGAATTCCCGTTCGATTCTCAAAGTGCATAGTTAGCTTGTTTGATTCATCAGAAGACGCTGTCGCAAAATTGGGCGGTGAAGCCCGCTGTAGCCCAATTCTACGCACAAGTAGATCGGAATGCTTCGGCGGCCATCAGGGGACATGTTCGCGCGGAGTTGGCTGGAAGAAACCGACTCCTTCGCGGCTTCCTGGAAGCATCGGCCGAGCCCACGAGCTCTGGAAAGGTGCTGTCGGTGACCGTCTTTTCCGGGAGGAAGAGGCACACATTCGGAAAGATCGAACAAAGCTGCCAAGACGGGGAGACTGCAGCGCTGACCAGCCAGGTCGGGTTTGTGCTCGATCTCGGCGGCCAGATCGGGGACGCATCGCCGAGACTCCGAGGATGGGACCTCAAAGTCCTCAGCTGGGAGGATCAATCGGCTCGTTTGCTGCCTGTAGTGGTCAGGAGGGCTTCGGTTGCGGCGACGGTGCGACACCACCTGCGAAACCTTGCGCGGCTGCAGAAATGGGCAGAAGCGGCCGGGCTCCAGCCGCGGCAGTCGGATGCGGCAATTGTCGCGCTATTTCTCCGCGACGCCGGCGGCGCAGGGCCGCCAGTTCCGAAGGCATCCTTCGCGTCGTCGTTGCGAACGAAAGAAGTATTCCACTTCCCGCGGCCGTTGGGGGACCCGCCGGTCGAGGCCCAAAATATATGTCAAGCAAACAGACAGAGCGGCAGCGGCAGCAGGCGAGCCCGCCAACGAGGGGCAGCTGTTTAATCGCAGCTGGCGCGCTCGGCGCAGCAATTATAATTGCTATTGGGCCTGCGCTGGTCCTGCCGTTTGGCTGTCTTCGCTGGTCGGACCCACAGAGGTCCACGTCCCGCACTTTGTCGCGGGACGCGCTGTGCGCAGAATCGTGGAGGTCCAAGGAGAAAATCGGCAGAATCCCTTGGGCCGCCCCGCGGAGGGATTGGCAGGGACGCGATTGTGGTGGACAGTTCCACGCCGTGGTGGGCGGCTACGCGGACCCTGCCGAAGCGGATTCGATCGCCCCAGCGATGGCGGCGGAGCCCGGCAAGATAGTCGTTCTGAGCCCAGTGCGCGCAGAGAAATATTCCGGCGCGTTGAACATCATGAGGCGGGTGCTGCGCGCATTTGGCGGCGCGGCAAAACGCCGCCGAGCGGTCGTTGCACAGCCCCAGATTGTCCGTCCCAGCGCTTGCCCGCCAGCTTCGCTTCCCCATGGAAGAACGCCGGACATTGGGCAGGTGGGGCCCGGGATCGGGCAACCCCCGTGCGTTACGATCGCGCGCTGTGTAATTGAACTGCTCCTCAAGCATGACATAACAGGGCGCGACATTGCGAAGCCCCTGAATCGCGCGCGCCTTCGGCGGCGGCCGCGGCGCCCGCGGCAAGGCAGACGTTGCCAGCGAGCCGCGCCGCGCCAGATCAAACCATGGCGCTCAACAGGAGCAACACGATGTTGCACCGCCAGCGCGAAGGAGGACCGCGCCGCACGCGCTGGTTTTTCCGGCAGGCGCCAGCACAGGCGACTTAGGGGCTGCGCTCGCGAAGATCGGTTCGTCAGGGGCGAACGCTGACGGGTTAAAGAGTTTGGCAGCGTCCCGCATGGATCTCGGCTGGGATCCTCCGGCGAAAAGTGCCCGCGCGCCTGCAGGCGAAGCAGACGGCAGTAATCTGCAAGTTCGCAGGCCTTGCGGGCTCGGAGGCCGACTTCGGCGAGGGCGCGTGCACCCCTGCGGGGATGGGGGGGCCCAGGCCTGGGCAGATCGCGAAGGCGATTATCTAGGCCCGACGAGACGCCGAGAGAGCCTGGGGGAAGAAGAAAAAAAAAAAAAAAAAAAAAAAAAAAAAGGCGACCGCCGGACCCCTCACATGGCCCGCACAAGCGGGTTTCAGACAGGGTCGGCGTGGCGCAGTGCAAGCGCTGTTTGGGAATCGGTGGCTGCCGCCGTCGTCGTCGTCGTCGTCGCGACTTCTGCCTGCCTCCTCTCCTTTTTCTACTTCCTCGCCCTGTAGCAGGGGAATTGCAGCAGCGCGGCAGGGGGCGCGCGGACGTTGGGAATGAAGCTGCGGCTTGCGAGCGACGGTACTCTGCAGCGGACCTTGAGCGGGCATAGCGGCGATGTTCTGTATTGTTGTTTCTCTCCAAACGGGAAGAGGATTTTTTCTGGGTCTGATAACGAACAAGATTTTGAAGCTGCGGCTCGCGGGCGACGATGCTCCACAGCAGACCTTGAGCGAGCGCGGCGACTGGGCCCGGGCCAACCAGAGCCGTTTCACACGCGGCAGGGCACGGATGGATAATACGAACATTCTGATTTATATCGCGAGGACTTTTTCGGGGAGGTATCGGATTTTGCACGCTGCCCAGTTGCCAAGGCCCCCCCATTATTTGGAGTGCCGGGTCGACGCTGTACTGGAAGACTATCCATTTGGCCAGCTCCTGCCAGGCATGGTCGTCAGCACCATCGCAAGGCATAGGGATTGACAAGTGCCGGTCTTCAGTGCATGGCGACCCGCCACGGCCGGATATTACCCGGGCGCGATCTGTAGCGAACCCGAGGCTGCAAAAGCGACATGTGGCAAAGCTAGATGATCTCGGGGGAAAGAGGCGACAGGGCATGCGCTCTCAATTTGCTGCCCTGTCGCACTTGAAAGTGCCAGCAAGCAGGTGCGATTTTCACCTGAACGAGCACTTTGCGTGCCATGGGGCCGCGCTGCGTTGCAATGGCGGCTTCGAACAGCAGCGCGGCGGGCATCGACGCGTTCTTCGGCGCCGCTGCGCAGTTCGCCGCCAATTCTTCTACGGGCGACGGCTACACGGAGCAGCGTGCAAACCAGTTGGCAAAGAACGCCACGAGGGCCTTAATTGTTGCCCGCGCTGCGCCTGGCGAGTCGTTTCGCGCGTCGAGGCCGACGCAGCAGGCAACGAAGCCACCAGACAATCACGACGGCGTGGACTTCGATTCGGTCTGGGTTGATATATCTACCAACGGGGGCTTCGCGGATCACCTCGAGGTCATGATTTATTCGGAGGCACAGCCACTGCCAGTAGCACGCGTGGATTATCGGCACGCAACCTCTTGCAATTGCGCTCTCTCTCTCTCTCTCTCTCTCTCTCGGAAGCGGCCTGGAATGTTTTAATCCTACAGACGAGCCTCCGGCCTCCCGTGTCAGAAGGTACCTCGAACGCCATGCTGGATGTGGCCGTTGGCCGAAGCATCGGTCGAATGCCGCGCTGATCGGTGACCTTGTGGGCTCCCGAATGGCTCGCGCTGGCAGCGGCCGCGGTAAACACTTATGCAATTGGCGGAGGCGCGCACGGCGCTGGAAGGCATCTCATCGCAACTCTCCACGCGCTGCTCTGGAGAGGCCTCTGACCGCCAGTCGCTTGGACCCCCGGCCCTCGCGCAGAGGAGCGATGGCTGATGCGATGGAAAAGAGGTCGCCCTCGCCCAGTTAGGGCCATTTTTGCGAATGGCCGAGGAGAGGACGGGGCAGGACGGATCAGAGAGCGAGAGGCTGAAGATGGGCAATCGTGCCGCAGGTTCTTCATCGACTTAGACCCTTCAAGGCCTTCGGGGCCTTTTGGACGTCTGGGGGTTTCCCCGTCGACGCGGCTGGGTTATCCTCGAACCGATTTTGAGCCAGACATCCAACTGTCTCGAAAAATCGGAAAGAGCGCCTTCTGCGGTCGCTTGGAGGGGGAGGGGTGGAACCGGACACCCCACCCTGCCCTGGATGGAGGGGGGGGGTTCGAGCCCCCCCCTCCCCTACTTCTCCTTTTTCCCTCTCCTCGCGCCAGCGACTGCGTCGGCGGCAGCTGGCGGCGGCGGCGGAGACTACCATGTCCTTCTCTGGGCCAGCGCCAGCGCCTGCGGCGGCAGCGGCGTCGGGGAGCGTCGACGAGGACGACAATGGTGGTGGTGGTGGATTGTGGTGGTGGTGGCGGTGGTGGTGGTGGTTGTGATGGTGGTGGTGTGGTGGTTTGTGGTGGTTTGTGGTGGTGGTTGTGGTGGTTGTGGTGGTGGGTGGTGGTGGTGGTTTGGTGGTGGTGGTGGTGGTTGTCTGTGGTGGTGGTGGTGGGTGGTGGTGGTGGTAGTGGGTTGGTGGTGGTGTGGTGGTGGTTTGTGGTGGTGGTGGGTTGTGGTGGTGGCGGTGGTTTGCGGAGGTGGTGGTGGTGGTGGTGGTGGTTGTGGTGGAAGCGGTGGTGGTGTTGGTGGTGTGGTGGTGGTTTGTGGTGGTGGTGGTGGGTTGTGCTGCTGGTAGTGGTGGTGGTTGTGGCGTTGGTGGTGGTGTTGGATTGTGGTTGTGGTGGTAGTGGTGGTGGGTTTTTGTGGTGGCGGTGGTGATGGTGAGTTGTGGTGGTGGTTGTTGTGTGGTGGGTTGGTAGTGGTAGTGGTGGATTGAGGCGGTGGTGGTGGTGGTGGTAGTGGTGGTGGTGGTAGTGGTGGTAATCGTCGCTGCGTCCCCGCCGTCGCCGACGCCAGCGCCAGCGCTGCTGGCCGCCGCCAGCGCCGGCGCTGGCGCGAAGGGGGGGTGCCTCCGTGGGAAAGGGGGAGGGGTTGAACCCCCCCCTGGGTTGCTTCTGGTCATCGTCGCTGCGTCCCCGCCGTCGGCGCTGCTGGCGGCCGCCGGCCGGCGCTGGCGCCGAGGGGGGGGGGTGTTTGAACCCTCCCCCCCTTTGGGGGAGGGGGGGGTTCGGGAGGGGGGGCGTTTGGGGGGGAAGGGAACCCCACTGGTTTAGATCGACGGCGCCGAGTGTTGGGGGGGGGCACCCCCCGGTTCGAAACGCGCCGCCGAATGTTCCCAAGGCAACTGCCCGTGAAACGCGCTTTCTCAAAAGTCGAGACCGCCAGTTTTTCGCCATCGTGAGCCCCTGACCACTTTGAAGCTCTTAGACCCGTGGATGAAAAAACCAGACAGGATGAACCTTGGGACGGGTCCGACGAGTATCCGTTGTTCGGTCGGTTCGGCTGCGTCGCGGTCGGTTACGTCTGGTCGGTTCGGTTTGTGTGGTCGGTTGTTGTACCGTTGTTGCGTCGCTGCGTGTCGGTTTCGAGTTCATTATCGGTTCGGTCGGTTGTCAATGGCGTTTTCGCCATGGACGGCCTTTGGCTCTGTAGAATGAGGGGGAATGAGAAATTCTTTACGCTTCGCGTATCCCCACCAGCCCATCTCACAGCAGCAACTCTTGCGAAGCATGCCGACAGTCGTGTTTTTCAGGCGTGTGTCCGCTTGGCCCCGCATATCTCCCCTGTTCCTCCTTCCTCCCGCCTCCTTGTACATCCTCCTTGTGGGGGAGCGGGAGAAGGACGAGGCGGAGGAGGAGGGAGAGAAAGCGTTCCTCGTGATTTGAGTCGTTTGGGGTTTCTCGTCCTGGTGTGAGTCGTTCGGGCCCTTCTTCCTGGTGTGAGTCGTTCGGGCTCTTCGTGGTGTGAGTCGTTCGGGCTCTTCGTCCTGGTGTGAGTCGTTCGGGCTTCTCGTGGTGTGAGTTGTTCGGGCCCCTCATCCTGGTGTGAGTCGTTCGGGCCCCTCCTCCTGGTGTGACTCGTTCGGGCTCCTCGTGGTGTGAGTCGTTCGGGGCCCGCGTCGTGGTGTGAGTCGTTCGGGCTCCTCGTGGTGTGAGTCGTTCGGGCGCCACGTCCTGGTGTGAGTCGTTAGGGCCCCTCCTTGTGGTGTGAGTCGTTCGGGCTCTTCGTGGTGTAAGTCGTTCGGGCCCCTCGTCCTGGTGTGAGTCGTTCGGGCTCCTCGTGGGGCCTCTTGGGGGCCTCTTGGAGCCTCTTGGGGCCTCATGGAGGCCTCTTGGAGGCCTCTTGGGGGCCTCTTGGGGGCCTCTTGGAGCCTCTTGGGGCCTTTTGGGGGCCTCTTGGGAGCCTCTTGGGGACCTCTTGGGGCTTCTTGGGGGCCTCTTGGGGGCCTCCTGGAGGCCTCTTGGGAGCCTCCTGGGAGCCTCTTGGGGCCATCTTGGGGCCTCTTGCGACCTCCTCAGAAGCGCAAATGAGCGCTGGCCGTCGTTCGGGCTCTTCGTGGTGTGAGTCGTTGGGGCCCCACGTCCTGGTGTGAGTCGTTCAGGCTCCTCGGGGGGCCTCTTGGGAACCTCTTGGAGCCTCCCGGGGCCTCTTGGGGCCTCTTGGAGTGTCTTGGGGCCTCATGTGGGCCTCTTGGGAGCCTCTTGGTGACCTCTTGGGGCCTCTTGGGGGCCTCTTGGGGGCCCCTTGGAGGCCTCTAGGGAGCCTCCTGGGGGCCTCTTGGGGCCATCTTGGGGCCTCTTACGACGTCCTCAGAAGCAGAAATGAGCGTTGCCCCCTGAGAAGGAGAAAATGACGCCAAAACCTTCGTAACATCAATAATTTTGCTATGAAGGGCGGAGAGCGCGGCCCCCTCCGAAGGACAAAATGGGGTCAAAACCGTAGTAAAATCAATGTTGTTGGCTTGAAAGACGAGTGGAGGCGCCAAACGGTCTCCCCCCCTCGAGACCAGAATCCTCGTGAGGGTCGTCGTTTTTTGGCCCTCCCAGGAGTCGAAAAAGTCCCCCTTGGTCCCACTCGGCCCGCCCTCTCCAGGTCCAGGGGAGGGGGTAGGGGGAGGGGTAAACCCCTCCCCGAAGGGGAAGATAGGGGGTTAGGGGGTTGAGAACAGAGAGAGCTCGCTAAACCACTCACGCCCAAAGGGCTGGTGGGATTCTGACTGTGGTATCTGGCACCTACCTGGCCCGCGAGCATTTGGCATCTAGAACTTGGGAGCAAGCAGACCAACAATTGCAACCATCGAGGAGGCAAGGCGAGAGCGAAGGACGAATAACGACCGAGCAAAGAACGGGAAACCGAGAAGAGAACGACCACGCGACGACAATGGATGAGGGAGAAAGGACGAGATGAGGAAGATCAGCAGCAGGGGCTGCCGCGAACTCAGCAGCGGCAGCATTACATGAGTGGAGGAGTGCAGTTGGCACGAGAAGTTAGTAGAACCCTTGTTTTGGAGAGGTAACCTTATGTTCCTTTTGTGTTAGGTTCTCCAGCTTAGTCTGTTTTCGTGGGGTATCTACTCGGGGTACGAGGCCGTCGGCGAAGGGGCTCGTGTTCTTGACCTGCAAATTCGACTGCAGCAGAGAGGTAGCTGTTGCACGAGAGGGTTCGGATCGGCTTGCTTGGCGCTGGAGTCTTCGCGCGTTTCTCCTTTCTCACTTCGTCTTGAATCTCACCGCTCCCTGCGAGGCAGGGTGGATGGCGGGCCTACGCTGTTTTGGTCGTCAAGTGTTCCGCGCAGTCCAAGAGGCCATGTTGCTTCCGCGTCGTCCAGTCGTCTCTCTCCCTCTTCTGCCTCCCTCCCTCTCTCCCCTCCTCCTGTACTCCTTTTACCGACACATGAGCATGTTCTTGCATGGTTCTGGTTGTCTCATGTGTCTCGTCCGCTTGATGTTCCATCTCGTAGATCCCGCCCCTCCCTGATCCTTCCCTCTTTCATCCCTCCGTCGCCACCTGACTTCAACATGGATCGCGCACTATTTGGCCACATGTGAGCAGGCGAATACGCGGCGCAAGTGTGTAATTCTTGACGCTTCCCCTGTCCCCATCAGCCCACCCAGAAACGATGTCCAGGCGACCTGTCTTGATCATGGATGTGTAGGAGCAAGCAGTGGAGAAAAAGATGGGCAACAGCCGTCAACTCGACTTTCGAGATCAGCTTGAGCACACTCAGGAGTCGACCACAAATGCCTTCGCGGACCTTTCGATATGGGAGTGTCTTGGGAGCTCATTATTCGGACCATCTGGGGGCCTTCTCGAGGCCATTTGGGATGCCTTCGGGGCTTTCTTGGGGCCCTCATGGGGACCTTCGGGACTCCCGGGGCCGATCTAAGACATTATTGATCAGGAGTCGTGCATTCGCTGCGCCCCGTCAGAGCCCGGAAAGCCGCGTCTCGGGGCGCTCTTGGGACGCTCCTGGGGGCCCTCTTGAGCGCCCCAGAGCTCCAGGGGCAGCCCTTGAAGGTATGCGTCCCTCTTGGGGCTCGCTGGGGCGGTCCTGGGGCCATCTTGACGCTTGCGAAGCCCTCCAGCGGCGAAAAGGTGAGAGAAACCAAGTAATTGAAAACCCAAATGTGGGTGGATGAGTTCCGAGTTTGGGCCTCTCGGTAGTCTCATTGGGAGCTGTGGTGTTTGAATGAGTTTGGTCTTCTAGTGACGTCCTTGCGAGGCCCCGTGGCCACTTGGAACCGTCTCTAGGCCTCTTGGAGGTAGGAGGAGGGGTGGGGGAGGACCCACATCTCCATCGTCGCTTATTTCTGCAACGTGGACCCCAGAGGTCCAAACCTCCTTCCCGGGGACATCCGGGGACCGTTGTTCCCTACCTAGGCTCTGCCTAGAGGGTTCTTACTCTCTTTCTTAAAGGGGCCGGGCAGTGCACACCGCCCCAGGCGGTTCCCCCAGTATCCGCCCCGCGGTTCCCCCAATTACGTCCCCTTAGCTTAGCGTTGCTTATCTCATCGTAGCTTAGCTTATTTCATCTTAGCTTAGATTAGCTTCATCTTAGCTCAGGATTATCTTAGCTTAGCTGACCTTCATCTTA